ATTTTGTCTCGTATTCAGTAAGTAGTAAAATGTCTATTATCTTTTCCTTCCTTTTTCTGACCTTCCTCCTGTTACTTAGTTTTCAGTTCTTGATCTTTCTCAGATCAAGAAAAACAAGTGTCCATCAACATATAAATGGACTAATAGACTGTGGTATATTTATATCATGGAACACCATTCAACCATAAAAATGGTGGAGACTTTACATCTGTTGTATTTACGGAATTAAGACACATATTTCTTAGTAAAGTATCACCAGAATAGAAAAGCAAGTATCCAATGTATGCAATACTAATAATATGAAGCCAATAGATACACAATGACATCCACATGAGGTAAAAAACACAATTAAATTCAAGTGAGAGAAGGGAGAGAAGGAAAGGGGAAAGGGGAACAGAAAGGGGGAATGGTAAGGTCTTACCTAATGTACACAATGTAAGGGTACACAGCACACCCCCTGGGTAAAGGGCTCAACCACAACTTGAGCCATATCTAAGAAATACAATTAACATAACATAATCATGTGTACCCTCATATGAATCTGAAAAAAAGACATAATCACAGTAAGCATCAAAAGAAAAATTAATGATATATGTTGAAGGAACTTCTGATAGCTTCTGATTTGTGAAAGAAAATAACATGCTTTGGAATAATTGTCATATGTGTGATGAAGCAAAGAACTCAAGAAAAGCCATAGTCCATTTGACATTAGACAAATATGTCCAGCAGTAAAGAATATATTTTTAATTCCTTTTTGTTAGTATTAGTGTTTAAATAACCATACTCTTACCTGTTTATCCTCATCAATTAGTACACAGAGTGTGCAGGACAGCTGGTGGCAGACAGCACAGGACTAATTACTGCCTATAACTGTGCAATAGAATAATGCTGTCTGGTCTATTCTGAGATAATACCATGCTTTCATAACTCCCATGTTTTAATACACTGAATTGAATAGCACAGACTCCTAAAAATATCTGGTCTATCTTCTAGAAATACCTTTTAAAAATCCTAAATTTAGAGCGCTTTCCATGAGCATAGCTACATTGCATTTGGAAAGTGAGTAAATGGATAGGATTTTTTGACATCTGCCTCAACAGAGATCAACATGACAGTCTTCTCATTGCATCCTTATTAACCAGATGGAAACAGAGAAATTCATCCTTATGTCTGTATCTCCTGGATTACTTTTTTTAGGCAAAAGAGAAAGGATGTACTGTAAAAGATACTTTTCCTGCACTTCCACATTTTCAAAATGTCTTTAAAACAACCTAGTACATGGCGGTGGGGTGTGGGAATGGGGGAGCATAGAGAGGGAAGCAGGGACGGGGTGGTAGGGTCACAGTGTTTGGCACACCTCTTGGGGGAAGAACATATTTAAAATAGGGACTTTGCTTGAGAAATGTAATTAGTGTAACCTGGATCTTTGTACCCTCAATAAATCCTGAACAATTTAAAACAATAAAAACAACAACTTGATTTTGGCAGATCAATCACATTTGAAATAACCTCATAGTCCTTACCTAGTATTTCAATATGCTTGTCAGAGCTTTCTGAGAGATATATGAGTAATATCTGGAGCTGTTTTATGAAAAGAGAAACCATGAGTAATGAAAGGTATTTACAGTTTACATGTTGCTATGGTTTGAATGCCCCCTCCAAAACATATTTTGAAATTTGTCACTGGGAAGGTACTAAGAAGTGGGGTTGTTGCCAGTTGCCAGCTTCCGTGGCTCATGCCTGTAAGCCCAACACTCTGGCGGACACAGGTAGTAGGATTCCTTGAGCTCAGGAGTTCAAGACCAGACTGAGCAAGAGGAGACCCCATTTCTACTAAAAATAGAAAAATTAGCTGGGCATGATGGCACTTGCTTGTAGCCTCAGCTCCTTTGGGAAACTGAGGGAAGAGGATAACTTGAGTACAAGAGTCTGAGGTTGCTATGAACAGTAATGATGCCACCATCCTCTACCAAGGGTGATGGAGTGAGACTCTGTAAAAAAATAAAAGAAAAAGAAATGGGACTATTAAGAGATGATTAGGCTAGGAAGGTGCTACTCTTATAAATGGTTTAATGTCTTTATTGCCAGAGTGGGTTGGCTAAAGTGGGTTTGTATGGAATTGAGTTAACCTCTCTTCCTTACTGTCTCACTTTTTGCCCTTTCACCTTCCACACAGGACAATATAGGAAGAAGGACATGACTAGATGCCAGCACCTTCAAACTGTGAAAAATAAAATTGTTCTCTTTATAAATTAAATGGCCTCCAGTATCTGTTATGGCAGCGGAAAATAGACTAAGACAGCTGCTTTCACAACTATCTACATTTTGGCAAATTCTCAACTTACATTACCCATTTTCCTTTCCCTAAAGCATAATTCATCAAATGAGAGAAAAAGGCCTATACTTCCTCACATTATTTTCAAACCACAATGGGTAATTGAGGTAGCCTGATAGCTTTTTGTTAAAAGGTCAGTTTTGAGATGATTCTAATCTTTAACTTTAAAATTTGAGTGCTTAAAATATTTTTTTTCCCACGGGCACAATTTTAGTAACTATCTGGTTGGTTCTGTCTCTAGAGGTTCTAATTAGCTCCCTACGTTTCTATTTATGCCAAATATTAGCTCTAGTTTAGTTTAAAATCTGAACTATAAAATGGAATTTTTTTCTCTTTATTTCTTTCTCCATAACTATTTTGGCATAGAACACCATCTCCTCCTCTTCTTATATATATATTGTATTCATCCTTTAAAACACAACTGAAGTTTCAGTCCTATATGAAATGTGTTACAATTACTTTTACACTAAATTGCGATTTATCCTTCTGCACTTCTATTGTGGTCTTAGGTTATACTATGAAGCTAAAAGTCTATGTCTATTTTTTACTATGTCTATTTTTTATGCTATTTTTTGATAATTTTATATGTGTTATTTTGTTTTCCAGAAAATTTACATATACCTTGAAGCCACTATGGATTGCACACTTATCTTTTTTTGGTATAATCCACACATACAATATGAAAGCATGCAATAGTCGTTCAATAAATATGTGTAGTGTTCACAAAAGAAAACAAGTTATAAGCCAAAACATGAGCTAATATCCATAAACTTATAATACATTTTATGGCTTTGGAAAGTTTGTGGGTACCATGGGCTCTGTCATTATTCCCAATGATGTGGTCCCTGTGTTACTCTTCACCCTTATACAATTCAATTAAGATGATTTCTTACTAAACGAAATAGGAAATTCTACATAAAGATACTTCATTATTCCAATATTTTGCTAGGCCTAAAAGGGTCCCATGGGGCTTTTTTGCCAATATTCAGAAAAAAAAACTGCAACCTTTCATACACAAACTATTTATGTAAATATGAATTGACAACTATTAGCAGAAATTTATCCAAGTTGTAACTTTCCCCCGATATGGCAGCTACTAAAAGAGTTTTAACATGCCACCATAATTATACTGCTAATAATAAGTTTTCTTTTACATAAAGACAGGGAACATAATAAACTAAAGCAAGAATAGAAACTAAAGCTGGGGAATCAAGAGATTTCTTAATAGTGAACCATGCTATACAAGTGAACAGATTCCTCTGGGAAATGCGTTGGAAACATGCCACTTTCATCTTTTAATGAGATAGAAACAGTCGGTAGTATATAGACAAAGACAAGGCACTCTGGCAGAAAGATGTGTACTTGGAGACCCAAAAGGTCATTTCCTTCATGAACTGTGTTGCTTCACAGCAGTGACCATTCCTTTGCACTAGTCTCTTGTACTTATGTCTCCCTCTCTCTCGCTCCTCTCTCCCCCACCCCCGCTATATACACACACTACATATCTATAAATTGAAACATATATTTCAACCTGTTATATTTCCTTGGGTAAAAATAAATATAATTGGCTGTTGAAGCATATCAGCATAAGGTGATATTGAAATAAAGGAAAGACAGTCTTTAAGGTCTAGTCTGCTTTGAATGAATCTTAGATAAATTTAAGGATATGGGCCAAGTTTATGGCTTTATCATGGAGCAACAGTGGTCATCTTGAACATGGGGTTGGCCATTATAACATCAGAGTAATTAACCTGTAGATCAATAGCAGAGAATAAAAGCTGCAGAAATATACTTGCTTAAAGAGAGAAGTGGATGAAATTTAGGATGTGATAATAAAAAATACCTGAGGCAAACAGGTTACCAGGCAAAATCTGAGCTAATATTCATAAACATGTGATACTTGTCATGCCTTTTTTTGTCCTGCATCCCCACCTAGCAGAAGTTTCCAGAGCTCTAATACAAGAAATGTACACACAGAGAGAGCTGATAAACCAAAGAAAGGATGAAGGAAAACAATTGCAAATTGAGAGGATACAAAATAAAAGCCAAGATGCTCCTTTGAGGACATTTTAGAGTGTTAGTTTTGTTTCATCTTTCCAGAATAAAAAACAATTTAACCCCCACCAACCTCTGTTCCCCATGAAGTTAATAATATGCACTCCCCTCAACTGGAAATTGAAATGACAGGATTAGGCACAGTGCACAGCTAAATGTTTGTGTTTCCTAATTCAAGGAGGACATTTGAAGACTACTTTTTATAACTAAAACTTCAGAAATAAATTTTACCAGAAAATTATGCTTGCATGATTCTTCTAAATCCTCCTTGAAATGATTTGTCTTTCCATCTGGCCTATACCACAATTAATGTAGCAAGTGCCTTGACCATCATCCATCTACTACTGTGCAAAAAGAAGTCATAAGTTTAGTTTCCAAAGAGTGTCACTAGCTCATCCCTTCTTCTCCACTCGTTTTCTCCCTCCCTTCCCTAACAATTGATAATCCCAGAAAGAGTACTCCAAATCTTGAGAAAAGCAGTTGATCCCTGGCTTCATGTAAGTTGCCACATCATTTTCAGGAAGAAGCACAGAAGCTGAATTGACCTGTATTGGAGTTCAGCTGATTCCTCTCCACTACCCTAGGAAGGCTATCTTGATCAAATTTCTCCATGGCTTGTATTGAAATGTGTAAGTACAAAACTGAGTACAAGTGTTTGATTTTGAAGGCAAAAAACAGTTTGTAACTGAAACAGGAATGAGTGGGTTAGAGAAGGTGTGGGAGGTTTTAACAGATAAAAATTTGAAGAATATAAATTGAGGTACTAAGAATACTAAATTTAAGAGTGATGACTTTGAAATGTAGTTTTGAAACAAAAAATCTATAGCCTTAGTCTAATATCAACAGAAGGGCTTAAATATGAGTAAACTCTTACTCTATCTAGGATGTGGTATGGGTTGAATGAAAGGAACTTTTAATGAAATTTGGTGAGTGTTGAATGATGTTTCAAATATATAAACTAGAGTCATTATTAACAAGATAAACTTTCTTTGACTTGTGTGGAAAAAATATATATGTTTTCTCTCAGAAGATATTCCAGAACATCCTACCAAAATCTGAATGCCAGATTGAGCAGATCATAGATACTACGGGACTTTAAAGAGATGGTATTTTCAATTACATCCCTGATAGTAAGCTACCTGTGTCTTCTAGCCTTGTTTACTTCCTAGGAGAGGTGAGGGAGTGAGGAATGGGGTAGGGCCACTGGGCAGCCATGATGGGTAATCATGTATCCTAGTGCTAAGGAGAGGGCTCAGAACATGCCAATGGGTTAAGGAACTATTTGTTTGACTACTTGTAGGAGTGGATCCTTCTTTTTCCCCCAGTATATTTCAGTGAGTTCAGTCAATCATATCTTTCTGATATTTTCTTGTCATTGCATTTCCATTTTTATTAGCTTTTTAGTTTCTGTTTTTACAAGCCTTGGAGGACATGCTCTTTCACCCACAGTAGTAGCTATAGACAAAAATGAGAACCAAGAGCTGCACCACAACTTGGCCCTGCAATATCTAAGTTCCATGCTTCAGGACAATGTAAATTCCTGGGACCACCAGCTGAGACCTTCCATCAATGTGTTGACCAATCTAGCAAGCGAGCAACTGGAATGCCACTCTGAAAGAATAATGTCCTGCATTCTGGTAGATAGTTTCCAAACTCTGAGACACCTCTATGGGCCACCACCTGCTGTTGCAGAAGAAGTCCTAGCAAAAGCAGAAGTAAATACCTCTGTGAGGCTGGCAGGTGGAAGGCAGAGGGAAAAGACTGTATTCTGCCCCGGGAAGTTTCTGGCAGCCCTCTGACACTGATTGTAGGGTGCACAAGGGTCATCTATGGGGTTACTGAGTGAAGTGGCAATAGTACAATGATAGATTTTACTTTGTGGAGAGGTCAAGGGTTGTTTTCACCCTGGGGCCCACAAGAGGCCTTCCACGTCTCCTCTCACTTAGATCAGGAGTAATGATGGTGATGCCAACAAGTAATAGGAGAATGGCTTATAAGGTCAGGCTGGCTCATGTTTCCTTCCCACTTGGGGACCCCTAGTACCCTATGGATAATTGACCAAAGCCTATCCCATTGTTTTCTGATAATCCATATTTACCTTCTTGCTCTATTGCTCATTGCCTCTTACCTCCTTGACTACTAAGTTTTAATGTTTCTAGCTATGCCTACCACTTTTGCTCCTCCCATGACAATGGGTCCTCTACTGCCTTCTTATTTCCCCCATTTCCATTCTGGAGGAAGGCCAGTTCCTGTGGCCCCAAACAGAGCACAGCTGATGGCAAAAAGGAGGGAAGAAAAGGGTTGAGGAAAGAAGTGAAAGTAACTAATCTATATGTTTTATATTTGAAACCCTGAACCCTCTCACACTCTGTTTAGCACTAATGTGACTTATATATTTGGAGATTTAGTAAAGATTGTTGGAAATATTGTGATTATTTTTTAAAATGCCACCCAGCAGCCTAAACCTTGGATTTTCTTTTCTACCTTTGAGGTATTTAAAACAGAAATAAACTTGTTAATGTTTTCTAAATTACTTAGTTGTATCCTAACTACTGTGTTGTATTGAATTAACTTGCAGTGTGCCTAGGGTGAGGGAGAGTTGAATTCTTACTAGACCAAGCCTATGTTGAGGAATTCCTATCTACCTAAGCCTAAGAGAGTTGCTCAGAGCTGGATCAGTTAATAAAGACAAGGTCCATAAAGGCAAGCCAAAGTCCAGACAATAAAGAAAATGCACTAATGGTAAAAGGAATCAAATAAGACTGAGATGAAAGTCTCTGTTAAGCCAGTATTTTACAATTAGAAGCAAAGGTGGGCTAAAAGATTAGGAAAGCAGTGGGATGGGGAGAAGGGATAGTTTTAGTCTACTGCTTCAGCATCAGTTATGGTTTGCCTCTCAACTTTTTACTGTTGCTAGGTACACGATATATGCAGGGTTGGCTCATTAAGAGTGCAAAAAAAAAAAAAAAAGGTGAAACAGGGCTAATCCCTTTACCCATTGTCTGAACTTTATGGTTAAAAGTTTTAAATGCAAATGAAAATATTTTACCCAGACACTGGAGTATTTGTACACTTTATGATTTGATACAGCATCCCATCATAATGGCAATTCTGTGATATTACCCAAACACCCAGATGGGAACTTGTACAATGTCAAGTGTCAAAGATATGGATATAGTATGCAGGATGGAAAGATGGACATGTAGACCACTGTATAACTTAATTCACTTCATAGTAAGATATCCTAAAACATTGTACCATTGTACATGAACAACCACTAATTTAGAAATATCTCCAGAAGATAATTCTTCAAATGAACATTTTTCATGTCAAGTGCTGATAGTGTGGGTGATATAATCAGTCAAGTAGAGGCTGACAAAGCCTGCAGATCTAAAAGATGCCTACCTTAAAGCAAAACCATTAATGTGTTTTTAGCATAAATAATTAGTTCTTTGTTACTCTGGCAAAAAAGAGCACATGGATTCATGAAGTTTTTTTTTTTTTTCTTAATTTGTTTCATAATAGGTCTTTCTAAATGTACACATTGTAGTGCAAAGCTTTGCGAGAGCATCTGGATAGTGCATGATAGAATTCCCCTCACTATGTGTATGTCCTGAAGCTGGCATGATTCCATCAATTTACTGTAGTGGGTTGAGCAGAAGTATTTGGCAAATCATTTGACAGCTGCTCACTATGAGGTAGCTCAGTTTCAGCATACCAAACACGTATTCAATTTTCAACCTTAATGAACAGAGAAGTTGAGTGTGGTTATAGTGGTCAAAAATACCCTTTGAGCCAGATGTTAGACGATATTTTGACAAGAAGTCAAGTTGTGTCAATGACAGTGCTACACCTCTAGAGAGTTGCCAAAAGGTATAGTAAGTGACAGCAGGATAGGATCTGCTTTTCTTCTCAAAGGGAAATAACAAGTTGCTCAGATGAATGCTCAGAAAGACTTTACTTACAATTAATTAAAGCAATCCATGATAAATTCCCAAGAACAAAAACTGACACCAACACAACCAGCTCCTTTCCCAGCCTCTCTTCTCTTACCTAACATCCTAAGTGTGTTTTGTTATTTTCTATGTCATTTTTAAATACTGAACACTTACAGTAAGTATCAAAGAATACCCATTAGCAAATTTAGGCATTTAATCTTTATTTATACCTTTGTGGCACAGGATAGATATATTTTCTAGTTTATGAAGAGCTCTTTGCCTATATAACAGGTTTCAGTGAATGCAAATATCAAAAAAAATTCGATTTATTTGTTGTTAAAACAAGAATCTTAAAAAAAAATAAAAAAACAGGAATCTTGCTGTTAAATGCAAGTAAAATGCAAATATTTTATTTATTCATTACTTCTTTATGGAAATATTGTATTACTTTGTTATCACAGGTGACAGTATCCTCAACAAAAGAAAAACATCTATTTTTATACAGATGGGTTGTCTTAAAATTGCTACTTTTTAGTTTTTCTGGAAGAATACAAACTGATATTAGTCCTATAGCATGACATATAATTCATTTTCGTAAGTACTTTGGTAAGCAATGCATACGTCAGTCTTGAACATATATTCTTTGTCTTTATTCTCTGTAGCTTAAATAGATTCTCACTACACAAGGGAATGATAAACATCAACAAAGTAGCCCTGTGTTCTGATAATAATGGGAATGGGTTAGCTATTTCCTATTCTAGGTAACAATCATTGTCACAAGAAGATTCATGTTGTACTGTTTATAATTTATAGTTCTCATTATATTCTTTGTCACAAGATTGTAGCATCAGAATTTTAATGTCCTATATATTATCCAGAAGATAATAATAAACTGTACAACTTTGACCTTTTACACATCTCAAAGTATGATTCACTACCCATTTCTGTTTTCCGCTGTTCACAACTTCTGTAACCTGGGAAAGAAAGGTGCACATGCACCCAATCAAAGTATTGAACACTGAAAAGGCTAAAGTTTAAAGTTAGGAAATTCTTAAAGTTTATAGTCTTTGATAAACTATAATGACATTAAAATTACATCTCATTCTGAGAATTATTATAAATAAAACACCAAACAGGAACAAATAATTTAGTTTCACTAGATTGTTAAAATAAAAAATAATAGAGATTATAGTGCTATTTTCATCCACCTTGGAAAAAGAGGTTTACTGTGCAGTTGTCACTAAATAATTATGTAACACATACAAACTGCAGGAGAAAATATTGCTTCTCAATTGTTACATTGTATTATAACAATAGCTTTGCATTATCAATTGTTACTGAGAGATATTGATTCTTAAAGACCCTATACATAGTAGCATGTAAAACAGCCCTACTTCAAAATCGATGGGCCAAAACCAGAGACAAAAGCATTTTAGACAGATTAAAAAATACTACCTCATGTCATGGGCTAATTCCATAGCTGTCAGAAAATCTTGAATGTTGTGTTTATAATGAACTAGATTGAGTGATATTCCCATAGAGAAAGTGATAATTTTAAATGAAATCTATTTCTTGTGGTAATATTCCCTTTTACAATAATGAAAATGCATAGTATTTATCAAACCCTGTCTAGATTTGAAAAGTCAGAGAAATTGTGCATGATTATGCCAGCTTTTTCTTAGGTGCTTAAGAAGATGCTATTAATGCTGAACAAGGATTAAATATATGTGCTTTCTCACTCACCTTTACTGCCACTCAGAAAACCTTTCATAGCATATACATTTCTCAAAGAAACTCTATGGAACTTATTTTCATAGAAGTTTTTTGACTATTGCTTTTTGGGAATGGACTAGTATCCTATATTACTTCATGGCTGTAGATTGTATTTTTTGCAACTCTTAAAACTCCCTTCCCTTAGGTAAAATAAGACAAAAAAGGTCATAGATCCATTATTCCCATAATATAGGATTTTATCTGTCTAATGGTGTTTGATCATATAATTTATTGGAAACTATGTATTTATAACTGACTTTATCTTACATCCTGATTATAAAAGCTGTGATTCAGAGGAAAAACAATGCAGGGAGTTTGGGGGTTGACGGATGGCATTTATGCATTGAAAAAGTGAAAGATAAATGGAAAAAGACAGATTAAAAATAGAAAGAGGCAATAACACAGTTGAGAAGGGATGAAACACTGTAACAGGAAGCAGCTGAAAATTGGAAGTACTATAGGAAAAATAATAAATTTGAATTTGGGAGAAAATAATCTAGAGAACACAGAGTGGGGTAGTTTGAAAAGAAAGTACTGTTATGGATTAAGTGTTTCATGACAGAAAAGATTATGTATAGGAGCCACACATTTAAGGGGTTAGGATGAGGTGATTAGAGAAATACTATCTAGCCTTCCTAAAAAATGAATCTATTTCTTCTACTTCATTTCTTCCTGTAAATATCATCTCTCCTTCAATAGTAGCCAATCTAGTAAGCCCTATATGGAACTAGAAATACTTTCTGGTTTAGGTTTCATTAATCCGCCAAATTGGCCTTGACAAGCAAACACATAATCATCAAATTAACTTCATTAGTGTGGTGGGTACGCAGTGAATTAGGGACAAACAAAAGTATTTTCCCTTTAAGTTCTCAAATGTAGCAGACTCTGACTATTTTTCAAATTTAAACCTTAATCATTTTTTTTATTCTTCCAGCAAGGTACACTAATTATTTTAAAATTCTGCCTTTCATCCTTCCAGCTAAACAATAACTTTCTGAAGTAGAGTTGCTGGTTTTATTTAAGTACATTTTATCCAGAAACCAAGTACTCTATCATTTTCCATAGAGGAATATTTATACTTCTTTTAGTGATAAAATCTCTGGACATTTTGTTAACTCTCTTTGATACTCAATAGCTAATTAGAAATATACTTTATAATAAATAGGTAAAGGACAGTGTTTAATGCCACCCAAAAAGGTTGGTTACTCATAAATAGAATTATTCTTTTTAAAAACATCTTGTATAAATAATCAGTCACGTTTGGGGAAAAATATTCACATTTAAATAATGTTTCCTAGTTAAAAAAAAAAACAACTATGAGATGTCTCTATAGATCATCAGTAAAACCAGAGGTAATTCCAATTTATAGAATGACATGAATTAAAAAAGCATCTGTCTAGAGTTTATCAGAGCTGCTACTGCTTCAATGTTTGACATTTTCACAAACCGATTATAATCTATATCCATCTCAAATTTTCCAAGCTTATAATTAATTTTCAATGCTTATTATCTCTCTAGTAAAATGAACCCATGAACATATCACTTCAAAATACTATAAAATTTGCATTTCTCTAATAATTAGAGATGAAGAGCA